CAACCAATGCAAATAAGATTAACCCCCAACCCAAAGGCCCTAGGTGATTCTAGATCCTGTCAGGTTGACGGTTAACATCACAATCACAGCATCTGTCCTGGTTTCCTTCTGTCGCTGTGATAAAGCACTCAGACTAAAGCCACCTAAAGGAAATTATTTATTTGGCTTATGCTTCCAGGTCATAGTTCATCATTAGGAGACGTCCATTAAGGCCTGGAGAGATGGCTCAGAGGTTAAGAGCACTGGCTGCTCTTCTAGAGATCCTGAGTTCAATTCCCAGCAACCACATGGTGGCTCACAACCATCTATAATGAGATCTGGTGCCCTCTTCTGGTATGCAGGTGTACATGCAGACAGAACATTGTATACATAATAAATGAATCTTTTTTTAAAAGATTTTAAAAAGAGAAATCCAAGCATGAAGTAAAGGCTTTATTATTTCACACATTACCTCCAACCAGAACCCACTCACAGCCACGGGAAACAGCAGAAACCATGGAGGAGGATGCTTGCTGGCTCACACAGGCTCATGTTTAACTAGCTTCCCATATACAGCTTAGGACCAACCAGGGGATGGTACTGCCTGCTTTAGACTGAGTCCTCCTGCATCAATCAACATTCAAGACAATCCCCACAGCTGTAATACAGGCCAGTCTAATCCAAGCCTTCTAAGGGTTTGGACCAGTCTGTCACATGTGATTCATGCTGTAAGATCATTTGGAAAAGCGTTACCATACCACCCCCAAATCCTCTGCTCTGCCAAAGAGTGTGTCATTGTGAACCTAGAGAGCCTAAAAGCTGGGATGTGGCTCAGTGAGTACAGCACTCACCTGTTAAGCATGAAGCTCCACATTCCATTTCCCACACCGCATAAACTAGGAGGTGATGCTGACCTGTGATCCCCCCACTCTGGACTTGGAGGGAGGGGGAGGCAGGAGGATCAAAAGTTCATGTTAAATTTAGCTACACGGGGAATTGGAGGCCTGGGATACACAAGTGCCAGGGGAGGGGAGAACTGGCATAGAGGAAATAGAACTCATTTGTAATCCTGACCCTTCCCCCACCACTTGCCTTTCTTTTGGCGTTTAGGGTACAGGTGTGTGTGTGCGTGTGCAAGTGTGTGTAATTTTGGGAGAGGTGAGACAGTGTCTCACAATGTAGCTCAGGATGACCTGAAACTTCATAGCCCAGGCTAGTCTCAAACTTGTGGCAATCCTCCTGCCTCAGTGCTGATTACAGGCATGAACTCACCATTGGGCTTCACTGCATCCACTCTGGTGTCTTCCTTTGTCATGATCTGTGTTCTATCCTGTGTGAGCTTTATGACATCTGGAGTTGGCTCCATGTCCTCATCTATAAGAGGAAGGTGACAGTAGAGGAGGGAATGAGAACATTTGGGAACTGTGGCCTTTTGCCCTCACATTCAGAATGTTCCTGGCACCTGGAACTAGTTCTTGCTCTGTGCGTTCATGACTGTGTAATAGTCCACCACTTGGTTGTACAGCATGTTAATTTACAATGGAGTTGGACTCTGATGGAGCCTCATCTACCCAACGCCACAGCCTGGTGCAGCCTACCTTAAGCCCATTCACAACACTCCCACTAATTAGCCCATGGCTAGGTAGAATTGCCATATACTAAGCTTACCTTATAACAAATTATCAGACAGCTGGAGCAATTGAGTGAGTTCTGTATGAGAGTGTAAGTGGGATGGCTCCTGGGTACGCTCCTGTTCCACCAAAGAGTCAAAAGACTGAAGAGGAAACACCAAAAGTGGGGCCTCCTGGACTTTAATTTCCTTTCTTATCAGGATAACCTGAATGCAGGAGGCCAAAGAAGACAGGAGCCTAGCCAGCCCAGCAGATAGTGGGTATTTGGTGAGGTGCCGCCCGCATCCACACCACAGGTGTCCCCCTGGTGAGCCCTGTTTCTAGTCGGCAGACACAGACACAGGAAGAAAGCCAGAGACAAGAGGATATGAGGAAGGGTGACAAGTCTGAATCCCAAGGGGTGTTGGATAAGCATGGCATAGACATGAGGAGGCAAGAGGTGACGGGCCTGCTGGGAGGGTATAAGAAATGCACTGTGGGAACACAGAGCATCACCCAGCCCAGCCTGGCAAGGGGAGCATGAGAAGGGGAAAGGATTTGGCAGACACCTTCCCCAAGCCCATGCTGGCACTAGATCCCAGAGCCTGGCATGGTGCTCCCCATTCCAGCAATGGTCTCTATGGGACCATGTTGTTCACCAGGTAGACAGGGACCCAAGATGCCTGCTGGTTCCCTGCCTGGGCTTTAGTCCCCAGACAGATCCATGTACCCAGAGCAGCCACAGTGCTATAAAAATGTCAGCTAGGCCATGGTGCTCCAGCAGGGTGCCCTCAGCGACCACCCATCTGAGTCCCCTCTTCATCCCAGGGACCTCCTCATGTTCTTGGTCTCTCTAGAAGGTTCCCCACTTCTGGCCTGCCCTTCAGATTTGGATTCAGAGATGTTCTTCCTGAAGCCCTGTTCTGCCCCCACCCCCCCGCCCAAACTAAGTCAGGGACCCAGTCCTTTGGGTAGCACTTCTCACAGCAGTTGGCAAACATAGCTGACCTGGAACCACACTCCACACTCCAGCCCTTGTCTACTACCACTGCTGCTTACAGAGCAGATTCGCAGACAGGTGGGAAGACAGCCCCAGCTTCCGGGCGCCCCTCTCCCACCTGACACCTCTGCGGTGTGGCTGCTGCCACCGTGAACATACATGTTCACTGAAGTCCAGCATTTGCAAGGTTCCCTAGAACTCTAACATGTCCCTATCACAATATCATAAGGGCCATTTTCTCTGCCCTACCATGCCCCTGCATGCTATGTGGTTGTCCTTCCGTTCCCTGTCTCCCTCCACTGCCCCCCTCATCATTGACCTTTCTCATCATCTCCTACTTAGAGCCTTTGCCCATCAGAGCAGGGAGCCCCCCAACTTCTTTGACAACCATTTAACTTAGCTAACTCATTTTACTCCCCAGCCCAAAGCCTGTTACGTTACTGGTGCCCTATAAATATTTTCCTTGTGTATTTTAATAAAAATAAGATTCCACTCAGCACATCAGTTGCAATTTGCTTTTTCCAAATATTGGCTATCTTGGGAGTCTGCCCATCTCAGAATAAGGTAAAATCGTGCTCACACAGACCTGCACACCTCGCCCACTCCCCACTAATTTTGTGGGTTTGGTTTGGTTTTCTGGACAAGGACTTTCTATTGCCCTGGCTGATCTGGAACTTGATATCCTCCTGCCTCAGCCTCCTAAACACCTGGGATCATGTCCAGCTCCCTCTTTAATTTTGGCCTGTGAAGAAATTCACATTCCCATATACTCACACACACAGAGAACCTCCTGCCCCAGCTACTATCTAGGGTCCTTTTCCTTAGTGTGGCCTTTCACTCACCCAAAAGTCACTCTCAGCTGTTCCAAAACTGCACTTATAAATATTTCTGGATTTCTCTAAAACACAGAGGTGTTAAGGACCAGTTTGCACCAGCATGAGACAGCTGATATGTGCTAATATCATAAACACCCTTAGATTGCCATGTGTCCTCCAGGTACAGCTGGCGTTCGTCTGAGTGTGTTTTCATCCAAGGCCCAGCCAGGCACACAAATTGGTCCTGGATTGGCACACCTTTGAGGTTCGATGAGGTCCCCTCTCTTCATAGCCACTGTCACCCTCTGTCATCCCTCCGAGCAGCCAGGTGCCTGCCAGTACCTTGTGAGCCGCACCCCACTTGGTGACATTCAGTGTGTTGCTCTGTTTTCTGCATTTCTGGTCTAGATTTGGTCTGATTCAAGTTCCTGCTCTGGTTGTGTCACCTGCGGCATTCTGACTGACACGGCTCAGTGCCTGGAGCCCTTCATTCCTAGGGGTCCCTAACTTCATCATGAAACACTTTTATAGAAGGGAATGTGCCCTCACCCTCTTTAGGTCACCCGAGAAAAAGCTTATGGAAGACAGGCGGAAGCCATGCTTATTGCTTTCCTTTTATTTACCAGTTTGCAAAATGATGAGGTGCCTATGAATATTTGAAAAAATGCTGAATAATACATGTGTGGGTGAACGAACAGCTGAGGAGCTGGGGTTCTCTTTGTCACCCTCAAGGGTCTGGGTCTGCAGCCTTCAGCAGGACTCTGCATTCACTGGAGGTGCTGGGGCACGTACAGGTCGCTGTCTGTCACGTGGGTGCCCACCTCAGTTAAGAGCTAAGGTGGGCATAGTGGGTCCAGTGTTTACCTAGTGTGTACAAAGCCTTGGGTTCAATCTCCAGCACACACACCCACACCCACACCCACACACGATTGTGGGGCCCAAGAGATGGCTTAGCCAGTAAAGACACCTGTCCCAAAACTTGATGACTCAAGTTTCATCTCCAGGCTTCACATGTTTAAAGGAAGAATCAACTCCCAAAAGTTGTTCTCTGCCCTCCACATACATGCTATGGCACACTTGTCGGCACACAACTTTAAAATGGATGTGATAACCAGCGCCTGTACTCCCAGCTCTTGGAAGGTGAATGTGGGAAGATCAGAAGTTCAAGGTCATCCTTGGCTGTGGAGCTAATTCAAAGCTAATTCACAAGCCAAGCTATGTGAGATGTTCTCCCAAAAGATGAAAAATAAGTAAGTAAAAAGGAGTTAAGGTGATCAGCTTCCTAAAATGTCTGGGATAAGGGAGTCTCCCCTAACCCAAGAGTAGAAGTCTAGGAATGTAGCCATGGAAGACAGCCAGAACCAACCTCAGGGGGTCCAGAGCACCCCTGAGAAAGGCCTCCAAAGCACGGGAGTGGAAGTCTGCACTCCTTGTCTGAAGGAGAGTCTGAGTGTGCAATGGACCACTGGCCTCAAGTCCCTTCCAGGCCAGCCCAGCACAGACCTGGCCACTCCTGCTCTGGGGTTCTTGCCTTCCCCAGAGGTCAAACGCTGCCCTGGAGTTTGCTGACCTCCCCCCATTGTTTGGTCTCCCCAGGTGTAAGTGCAACCTGCATGCCAACCTGTGCACAGTGCGTGAGGGCAGCCTGCAGTGCGAGTGCGAACACAACACCACGGGCCCCGACTGTGGCAAGTGCAAGAAGAACTTCCGCACGCGGGCCTGGCGAGCTGGCTCCTACCTGCCGCTGCCCCATGGCTCTCCCAACGCCTGTACGTATGTAGCCTGAGCAGTAGCAGCCCTCATCCTGCCCCAGAACTGCAGCTCACATGTGCACATGCGTGTGCATACACGTGCAAACACACACACACAGAGGAGGGGAGGGGGCAGCTGGCATGTCTTCTAGGCTCTACTTTCAGCCCTAGGTTCAGGCAGGCCAACCCTCCTCACATCTTGTCTGCCACCCTTCTTCACTCTGAGAACAGGCAGGAACTCTGTGGAGGTGCAGAACAGGGGTGCAGGTGAATACACCTTAACAATGAGTGCTGATGGGGTGAATGTGTGTGTCACGTGGTGCTTCTGGCACTGCAGCCCCAGCCGGGATTCTGGCAGTCAAGGGCTAACATTCACATTTTGCAGAAGTTTCCTTTGAGACTCTTGTCTGAGCCCCTGCTCTCAGCCCAGTCTTGTCCCCACCTCACTCAGCTGTCACAGGAAGCCATCTGAAAGTTTTGTCCACACATGTCTGCATCATGAGTTCTCCTTCAGGGACCACTCAGAGCAGGCCTCATGAAATCACAACTCCCACAAGTCTCTGGGCTGCAAGAAGAAGAGCACCTCGGCTGGCTCCTCAGGCCCAACACGTGAAATGCACCAAATGAGCTGTTCCGGGCTGAGGTTGCACCAGGATCAGAGGCCAAATGTGTCTTTCCTGGGCCCTTACAACCTCATAACTCCCAAAGGCCCAGCCACCCCAGTGCCCTCCTAGTCCCACAGCCAGTCCCAGGCAGCACAAGACCCAGTGACAAAGCCAGAGTCCACACGGTTCCCAAACCACGGGTCCCATCTGGCACCCTCCCTCACCCCTAAAAGATTCATGTGGCTTTAGACTGATCAAAGCTGAAGGCTGCAGCAAGGCAGCCGGTGACAGGCATGGTGTGCGTGGGCTGCAGCCGGCATTGTGACAAGCCTTTGAAGGGGTGACTTGCCAAGCACCTCAAGCCACTCAAGGGTCTTCAAAGGCACAGAGGGGGCTTGGCGAGCTGCTGGCCTGCCCACGGTCTAGCTCCCTCTTCCTGGGTGCCTCTCGCCATCTCTCTGTATCCTGAACCTTCCTTCAGCACTTGGTGCTCTCGCTCCCTAGTGAGCGTGTCTCCCCTCCATATGTCCCATAGCCGCCCCCATCCCCACCACTTCTGCCTGGTTTCCTCCTCAGCCTCCCGCCTGCCACCTCCACCACCATGGACCAACACTCCTACCTGCAGAACAGCTAGGGCTGCTATCCTCATGCCCTGCCAAGACCCCAGAGTGTCTTTTCTGCCTGCTCTCCCCCTCCCTGCTTTGAGAGCTTGCTTCCACCTCACCCCCATTTCCTCCCCTCTGGGACCTCCTCTTCAAAATCACAAGGGCACCCCTCCTCGGTGCCCGCCTACTTCAAAGCCTTGGGAATGAAACCCTAAGTTGTCAGCCCCTCCGCCCCCCGCAAGGACAAGGCCCCTGTGAGATTACCCTACCCCCTCCATCCATGGCTCCCTATTCCCAAAGCCCAAATCCTCTAAGTCCAGTCTCTTGGGACCGGATCTTCCCACTGGGTGTCTGCACCTTCCTCACCCTCAGGGCCAAACTCTGAGGCCACCTCGCCTCTACACTCTACTCCCAGCCTCTGTGAGTCCTTGCTCTCAGCTCCCACACTCCCAAGGTGTCTTCCATATCTCATGCATGTGGTATCTGCCAAGGTGTGTAGGTAAAGACCAGAGTAGTGTCAGGGGAACCACGTGCCCCACCTGGCCCACTGCCCCCAACACAAGTCCTTTCTCAGAACCACGTGAGACAAAGCCATGACTGGCCCCTTCCTTTTGTGACTGTGACAGTTCTACTCAGGGACGGTGACATCACTGGTCAAACCACAGTCCTAGGCTTCCCCTCCCACAGAGGCACAGGACACCAGAAAGACTTGGATACAAGCTCTCACATTGCCATGTCTCCCAGCAGGCCACACTTCCAACTCCCTGTTGCTAACTCTGTGCATGAGGATATTATCCTGCCTTCGGGAGCCTGGAAGTTGGGTTAAACAGGAGGGAATGCTTATCACTGTGTCCTGGGGAGGGGCAGTTCACAGTGTCCCATTGTAGAATGGACTAAAAGCATCCTTCAAGCAGTCCGTGGTGAGAGTCCCCATAGGTGTGGACCCACTGAGGCTGTCCCTGGGACCAGGAAGTCTCAGACCCCACCTCTTTCCCTGTAGTGGGGCTGGAGGACACCTCTGTGGGCTCCCCCTACTTTGTACACTGCCCTGTGCCAGGTGGAGGTGACCAAGCCTTGTGTCTAACCCTGTGACCCTCTTGTGCCCCTACAGGTGCTGCTGCGGGCTCCGCCTTTGGCAGTAAGTACCCACACTCTACACAAGGCTCCGCGGCTGGGCCTGGAGACTGTTTCCCTGGGCCTGGCCTCTGTCTTCCCCACTGCACCTGATCACGCCCACCTGCCTCTCTGCCCCTCACCCTCGGTCTCCTAGGAGCTTTCTTATGCTGCTTTGGAAGAAGGACAGGGTCTTTGTGCACTTTTGGTCCCCTGACCTCTGGGTGGACAGACTCCTCTGTCCTCTTACGCTCTATTCTGTCCTTTGTACACAGCCAGGATTTGGAGGTAGGACTGGGGGGCGGGGCTTCTCTACTAGTGGCAGTGTCTGTCCCCTGAGTGTGACCATTTGGTACCTCCTCCAGGCAGCCTCTGCAGCCAGCCTGCTCTGCCATAAGGCTGGAGGAGGCCAGCTCTGATCCCAGAGCTCCAGATGTCTAGGGCATGTCAGGCTGGGGAGGGGCATCTGCAAGAATGCCAGTGTCTTGGAAATCCCACGGTTAGTAAGGGCGGCTGATGTGGGTGCCTGCTGATGCCCAGCCACTTGGTCCTCCCAAGCATTCAGTGGGGCCAGGTAGCTGTGCAAAGCAGGGCACTCTAGCATCTCATTTAAGCACTGCAGAGGGTGAGTTACCCTCTGCCCCAAAGGGTCTTCTCTCACTCCAAGAGCCAGCAGGCAAGGAGTGTGAGTGTCAAACTGTGGCAGACGTCAAGCCTCAAGGATGCTTTCACGGACTTCATCACCCTCCATCATGCCTGACTGTCCTGCCTCAGTCGGGCTGACCTTTGTCTGGGTTGCTGGTGGCCAGAAGGAAACTAGACTTAACAAACATCACTGGCATTTGACCCCAACATCAGAGTTAGGGAAGGCTTCTCTGGGACACCCCTGCCCCACTTTTTCTTGCTTTCTCCATGTCTTGCCAGGTACCGGCAGGTCTAGAAAAGACCCTGCCCCCAAAGCCCCTATGGCCACTGAGGCCACAAGGAAGGGTCCTATCACTTCTTCTCCCTCCACATCTACCATCCAAGTCCCTCCAGCCCCCAGCACCCCACAGCCTACAGGTAGGTATGAGAGCACACCCAGGGATGCGTGCTCCCACCCTTCTTGCCTCCCTCACCCAGGGAAGAGCAGATACTTGCCTCTTAGAATAGAAGCCTCTAGCATCCTAGCCCTGTGAAGGCACTGGCTGAGGAGGTCCCCAGGCCATCTCAGGAAACCATCCCAGCAGGAGCCCTAACCAAGGCAACCACCAAAGCACCCAGAATTGACTCCTGCTTGTCCCTCGGACCCAGAGGCCCATGTAGCCAAGAGGACAGGTAACCTTGTAGGAGGGTGCCCACAGCAGCAAATCCACTCAGATATTCAGCCAGAGATGAAGCCTTGTCGCCCAAGGACTACGTGCTTTGTAGTCCATCCATGGAGCTGGCTCAGGCTCTGTGCCCACCTGGCCGCCGACTGGGACCTCTGTCCAGGTGCTGGTCAGTGGAAGAACAGAGCTAGACTAGTGGAGGAGATAGGACAGGAGGGGCCTTGGGAGGAACCAGACTCCTAAATATTCATGAGCAGAGACAGGCCCGGGCCAACTTCCTGTCTCATGACAGGGACTACATGTGCAGCTACACAGAGACCTACAGGCCTGTCTGTCTGTCCGTCTGCTCTCCTAAAGCATGATTTGTGCATACAAGTGGTGTGAGGTGCTGGTGTGGACCTCTGGACTCACCGGGGAAGTCTTGCCAGGCCTGGTCCACTGCAGATACTGGGAACCTGAAAAGATTCTTCCTCCCAGAGGGTTCCAGCAAGATGGTGGCCAAGTAACTTCCTTCTGGCTCCAGTAGCACACCCCTCTCCCTGCCTTTTTGGGGGGACATGCTGGGGCTCCGTATTCCTTGGATATCCCTGATATTCTCTTCCATTCATCACCCTGACCTAGACACCCCTTGCCCCGTGGCAGGTAACATCTGGGACAGAGAACCCTCCAGCAGCTGCAGAGAGATCCACCCCACACTGTGTTCTGTCTGTATCTGCTGCACAGGGTGGCCTCTCCGGGTCAACTGACAACCTTGAGAAAGTCACCTTCCCAGGACCACACCACAGGGCTTCTCTCTGAACCGCTCCATGGGGATTGTATAGGGGGCTGGACAAGGAGATGAAAACTTTCAGGGGAAACCTGCCGTCAGGAGCCCCTTTGAGGGGAAGAAATCGGGCTCTAAGTCTTGGCAGCCTCCGGAGACCTTTGCATTTTGCTGAGCTGGTGCTGGGCAGAGGGGGCAGAAATAAGCTGGCAGGGGTGAGGAGCGCTGTCTACCACTCACCAGTGGTGACCCAGGGTGGGAGACAGCCACTGGTGCTCAGGTACTGAGGAACCTGCAACCCGCTTGGAAGCTGCCCGTGTGAGAGCGGTGTGGAAGTTAACTATGAGAAGGCAGAGGGGGGGCCCAGTGAAATCTCTCCAGAAGGGTGAGGTCTGAGCTGTGAAGCTTCCCCTCGGATACAGGGCCAGCTGACTCCCAGACTTTGCTAGTGAGCAGGAGGCAGCAACAGCAAACTTTCAATGACTCTCAGCTCTGCAATTCCTAGCCCTGGGCTGGATGGCTGAGCATTAAGGAGAGGAGGTGGCTTCAAGGAAACAGCCAGCAGCCTGCACCTTCTCCTCCTTAGCTCTAGCTCCTGTGTGACCTGTGCCCAGAGTCCCCTGGTCACCAGGCACACCTTTGGCCTGGATGCTGTTTGCATGCCGGTGTCTGGCAGCTTGTGTGGTGTTTTCTTCCTGGTCTCACTGGGGGAGGGCATGAAAGTTTAGGAAAAAGCTGCTGCATCTAAGGTGTGTATATTATACCCCCATGAAGCTGTCCTTTTAAAAAGAAGAGAGAGAGAGAGAGAGAGAGAGAGAGAGAGAAACAGCTTCCCAAGGTCCCAGGAAACACGAAGTCCAAGCTGGAGCACAGGACTGGCTGACTCACTCCCTGCCTGCTCTGCCACTCCGGGCCACTGCCCTGAAGTCTCAGGTGGAGGTGGTCCCATTGTTAAGATCTAGCTAGCAAGGGTTCTTGGTTTCAAAGGACCCTCCGTCTAGTCTTGGCACACAAGGACCCAACATGTCCCAGCAAAACCCAGACGGAAGCATTCTCTTTCTAGACCCAGCACCTTCCAACAAGTTTTCAGATCTCTTTGGCTACAGTCCAGCCAAGCCTTGAAACCTCAGCCCCAGATGTTTCTATCTCCTGCTATTGTTAAGCCGAGCTGTGCTGGAAGCCAGACTGAAGAGCCTGATCCTCCCCAGCCTCCTCAAGAGGGTTGGGAGAAGCCAAGCTCAGAGGCAAGATGCCTTCTGGTGGTTTTACCAGGCCCCTAATTAAGCCCTTGCCAATTTGAGTCCTGCGGCCTTGTCTCTTCACTGAATACCATATTAATGTCAATTTGATGTCCAAAGGCTTCAGGCTCCCAGCTGGGAAGCGCCTGCCGTTTTTTTAAACTGGTAGAATTTCTTTTTCTTTTTCCATCAACCACCACCGGTAATCCCTTTCCAAAAGGGAAGACATCAGCTCCCTCTGCCCCACCCCTTCTCCCAGTTCTATCCTTTGAATTCAGCAAAGCAATTGCTGCCTGTGATCCTTGCTTTGTGTCCAGCTCTGGGAAATGAATGTTGGGAATGGGGGAGTTGGTGACTCATGATGAGGTCTCCTGATTCTCAAGCCAAAGATTAGGGGGTGGAAGGGCAGTGATCAGAAAGGCAAGTTAGACGTCAGAGGAAACTCTGGGGAACCTTCTAGAACTTTTCTCAATGTGTCTACTAGCATCCTGGCCAGGACATTGTCTCCCAGCACCACATTAGCCTGAGGCTTCACACACAGAAACTGTTCTGACTGGCTCTCAGGTTGGAACAGAAACCACACAAAGAGGGAAGAGTCTTTGAAAGCAGTGTTCCAGTGAAGGATGGACTACAAAGCCCACAGAGCCTTAGGCATGGGGCCCTCCTCTCCTCCAGCTTCAAGTGTGTGCATATCCTCTGCGGGCTGCAGTAGTATAGAAGCCACCTCTGTAGTGGATTTGGACCCAGATCCTCTAGCCCATGTAGACAGAGCCTGTAGCGGTGCTTCTTCCAGGGGCCCCTGGGGGGTCAGCGCATCATCCTTCACATGACTTGATTTCTTCTCTTCTTCTTCCTAAGGTCAGACCAAGTCACCCGCTACTTCTCCCCTTGGGGACAGCTCCTTCTGGCCCCAGGTGTCCACCAGTGCAGAAGGTATGGGGGCAGGGCCTATGCCAGGCCTGAGACCCCAGAAGCTCCATCTTAGACCCTCCCTCTGTAGTGGGGATAGCAGGCTTATGTGTTGGGGGCATTGGGGAGGAGGGGCCCCAAAAACTTAAAGGACTGGGGAGAAAGAACTCAGGATCAAAGTACTGAGGTAAAAGGCCTGGTAGCTACCCTTACCTCTACCCCACACTCTATTCTGATTCTAAGCCAGCAGGTGACATCTCTAAACCTTCTCCAAGGGCTTCAGTGTGTAGAAGGGTGGCCCTCATTACAGGAATCCCCTCTCCACCTCACAGTGTGGGTCATGGGATACCTGGGCAGCTGATGGGGCCTAGAGAGGGTCATGTGGACCCAGAACAGGGACGACTGCCAGTAAATGAAGGTGACAGAGAAGCCTGAGGCAGACTTGGCAACCTACCTAGTTAAGCGAGCCTCTCAGGACCAAGTCAAGAGGATTAGTCTCCCACTGCGAGACGACAGCTGGAAGAGGGGGCTTATCTGCAGTTATAGGTTGTCCTCATCTGTCCTCAGTTGACATAGTCTCAGCTCTATTGTCCTGGCCCCACCCCATCAAAGACCCCAAGCTCCCCTCCAACCCCAGGGATGAATGAGCTGGGAGACAGGCTTTGAGCTCCCTCTGCTGGCAACTGGTTGCACAACTAGGGGAGTCAGCGGTCCCTCAGTCAACACATCCTTTCTGGTGCTGAGTGCCCTGCCCTAGGGCTCCTTCCCTGGCCCCACCCGAGAGCCACAGAGTCTTAGAGGGAATCGCAGAGACGGTTTTCCCCATGGTAATAGCATGCTCGCCTCCAAGAATGGGGCTGGGCCCTGGTGGGATTCCAGGCAGGGAAAGGTAGTGCTGTCTGCCTCCTTGGCTTGATGAGGCTTATAAGTCACATCCATGGACAGCAAAGGACCTGTCCTAGCTGCAGCAGAAAGATGTCCTCAGAAGTAAAGAAGATGCCATCTTAAAAATATTTAAGCGTATTTCTTTTCTGCATACGAGCGGGTGTACGTATGTGCAGTACGTGCATGCCCGGTGCCCACGGAGGTCAGAAGGCAGTGGGTCCTCTAAAGTGCTGGGACTGGAGTTACAGACAGTTACGAGCTGACACGTGGGTGCTGGGAACTGAATCCATGTCCTCTCCAAGAGCAACAAGTGCATTTAGCCACTGAACAACCTCGCCATCCCCAACATGCAGCCGTTAATGCCAGACTTAATCTCAGCATCTGATGACCGGGGAAGCTCGGAGGACAGAGGGAAAGGGCAGAAAGGCAGTGTCATTTACTCTCAGCCAGCCAAATACCTGTCAATGTCAGCAACTGTCTTAGCTGCAGGTGGAGGTGTTAGGGGATGGAGAAGGTATCTGGGGGTTGCCCCAGAGGATGCAGAGGTGCCCTCAGGGAATAAGAGGCAGTGGGTATGCCCTGTCATTACTACGAGGGGCTTCGGCCTGGGGCTCTAAGAAGAGCCCCACTTCACACCCAAGGGCCATGTGGTCTCTCCTCAAACGTGAGCTGGCGCCAGCCCGAAGCCTTGGCTTAGCTTCTCCCTGGGTACAGGGGGCCTGCCCTAGTGGCTGGACCATGGCAGGCATAAGCACTTGTTTCTTGTCTCTCTAAGCTGTGGCTATCTCTGTCGCTGCCCCTTCCCAAGTCAAGGGCTCCTCACTTTTCCAGCTCAAGCCCAGATCTCCTCAAGTGATACCCATTGAAGAATTTCAAGGTAAGACTCTCAAGGCCTGGGCCAGGCCTCCTACCTCTTCCCCAGTTCACTGGAGAAAGACAATGCAGGACAGAGCTCGTCCGTACCAATTCAGAAAACCCTCCCAGAATAGCTGGGCCATTTGAGCTAAGTCTCTCCAGCCCCAAGGGAGCTGAAAGCAGGGATGAGTCAGAAGGAACTCAGGTCCAGTGGGCAGGCACATGGCAGGAGAAGCAGCTGCCACAAATAGCCTGTCCTGGCTCCCCTGGGAGGTGTGGCCCAGGGGCTTGTCTTGGTTGGTGTGGAATCTGGGACACTCGGGTCACTGGCAATGCTCTTTGGGAGCATTTGGAGGATGTTTCACAGTGTCTCTGGAGGACCACAGTGAAGTGGCAGGGTAGGCAGACTCATGGGTGGGTCCACCAGCTCGCCTAGATGCTTCTCAAAGGCGTTTCTCCAGGGTCTCCAGTGCCTTTGACCATACGCAGACCTGGTCAGCACCACCTTGTGCTCACAGACAGGAAGCTGAAGTGGTCTCGGGGCAGCTGTCCAGGTGGCCAGCTTTCATGTTCAATGGCATGGGGATACTGAGTCCTTTAGAACGGACACATAATGATGGCTCGGAAAGTGACTCTCCACACTGACCTCTGCTACTGCAGGTCCTAGGGGTCTTGACCCAGGCAGTCATGGGAGTTGATAGAGCCACTTGCAAGGCCAGCCTGAGAACCATGTGTGGCAGGCCGGGTGTGTAGCTTGGCTGATGGCTTCCTAGCACACAAGAAGAAACTCTGGGCTGGAGCCCCAGAACTTGCATGACTGTAATCCCAGGAGGTAGGGGTTGGAAGATCAGAAGTTCCATACCTATGTTGAGTCCAAGGACAAAACAACAAAACGAAAAACACTTGTGGGAGGAAGAGTGAAAGGTCCCACAGTGGCCCACAGGTGGCTTTCCTTGGTTTGAACTGAGCAGTGAGGTTCAAAAGCTGGATGGGGACTAGAGGAAGCCAAGAGATCGCTGCCCAGACTCTTGCCGAAACCAGCAATTCAGTGCCAGTCAAGCCTGTGGGATGTTTAGGCCAGTAAGAAGTGTCCTATAGAGACTTGCGGGGACAGGGACAGCAGTCAGTTTCCCTCTTCCAAAGCAGCATGGGAGGAAGGTTCTGTCCCATTCCATCATGCCCACATTTGTGTACGACTCCATTCATCTACAGGCCCTTGAAGGGACTATAGCAAACGTGGAAGCCTGGCAGTGACCTCTGTAAATGCGGCCTGCGGCATACCCCACCCACCTTGCAGAAATCAATTGCTAATCAGCCCCAGCATGTGGGCCTCCTTCAGCCAGCACTTTGCCCTGAGACCCAGCCAGGTGTTGGCATGCCCTGGCCTCCCCGACTGTCTACAGGCCTCTGGGGGACTCCAAGCTGTCCAAGGCCGCTTTGCCCACACGCTACAGAAGTGTGCCCCTTCCAGATCCTCCTGCTAAAGATGCCTCCTCGCTCCTTCCCTATATGCTGTTGGGTGTGTCCTTCTCTGAATGCTTGCTTCCTCCCGAATGCTCACTGACCCTGGTGTTTCTCCTGCTCGGCTGGCCCAGACTGCGAGTGCTACGGCCACTCCAACCGCTGCAGCTACATTGACTTCCTGAACGTGGTGACCTGCGTCAGCTGCAAACACAACACTCGAGGCCAGCACTGTCAGCACTGCCGCCTGGGCTACTACCGGAACGGCTCAGCCGAGTTAGACGATGAGAATGTCTGCATCGGTGAGCCTCGGAGCCCCTGGGTAGCGATGGTGCGGAGCAGGCCCCACCATGAGGCTCTCTCCATCTGGACATGTCTAGGGAACAGAAACCCTCTGATCAGCTACTAGTGACCCCCAGCTCTGTGTAGACAGCAGAATCGCAGGCACTTGTTAGGGGCCCAGGCTTGCTGTGACTTTGGTCCATCCCTAGTCCTCTCAGGGCTCACAGGAAGCTGGGCGATAGAGACGAACAACTTCTCTGCTGTTGAAACTGTCCTTCAACATTTGAGAGCCAGCTTTATAAAGCTGTGTCTGCTCTCATGGGCACCCACTCTTTCTTCAGGGTTCTGTTCCAGCACTGGCTTTTCTGTAGACATCTCCTGTCACTCCTTGGGCCTGGACAGGGGACGCACCCTAAAAGCCAAACACATAGCCCTCAGCTGACACCCAGTAGCATAGAAGGACATTCAGGACTGCCCATCTCCCGGCCAGGTCTCGTGAGCTGCCAGGTCTCAGCCAGCCAGCCATCCCCCACCTCCACCACCTGGCCAGCTCAGCTGCAAAGCTAGAGCTGTCATTCTGGATCATGGCTGAGGCCTTCAGATAATTCCATCAACTCTAAAGTGATCAAACAGAATTGTGTTGCCAGTGTCACACAGGGCCAGCTGCAGGGACAGGGCAGGGACAATGGATCTGATTAGAGGTGCCCCTTCTTCCTGTCTTTCTGTGCCTCCATCTCAGGCCAAGCACTGGACTTCAAGGACTGGGCGCCAGGAACACTCAAATCATACACACAGACCTCCCCTCTCCCAAACCAGCTAGGGCAGGCCGGAGGGGTGGGGGAGGCAGGCGGAGGTAAGCCTCTGGCTGCTCTTCCTCCTCCTTCTGCCTCCAGCCTTGGGGGAGGGGATAACACACACACACCATACAGCCTCCTGGACAGACACCTGTCACCTGCAACACTCTTCGCTTGGTATTGGAAAGAATCACCCCTTCAGCGGTCCAAAGAGGAGAATGCGACTCCAGGCCTCACAGCGAGACTAGAGGAAGAGTGTTGGATGCCAGGAGAGGAAAGACTACAGAGAGCCTGCAGTTTTTTGTGGGGAGCATGGCCAGGGAGTGCAGAGAAACCCAACGGAGAGGGATATAAAAACGGTATAAAGGCTGGGTCCGTTTGTAGGTGCTGCTCCTATACACCTGTTCCTCCTGTCCCCCCAGAATGTAACTGTAACCAGATCGGCTCCGTGCATGACCGGTGCAACGAGACCGGCTTCTGCGAGTGCCGGGAGGGCGCGGTGGGGCCCAAGTGCGACGATTGCCTTCCCACGCACTACTGGCGCCAAGGATGCTATCGTGAGTGGACTGCCCCACCCCACCCCCGTCAAGGCAGAGCCTTCAGGCTAGGGGCGTGGTTCGGCCGGTGGGCGGGGCCTACGTGGGCCTGCCTGCGGTGAGCTTTGAGCGCGTGGCTGCGGTGAGAAGGGCCTGGTGCGACCACGGGCAGGGGTTCAAAGTGGGTGGGTGGGGGCTCAAGCGGGCATTGCCGGGTCTTCCGTGGGCAAAGTCCGTGACAAGTGGGAGCCAGCGCTGGCAGAGCGCTCCCGGTACCCAAGGCTCTAGAGGCAGACAGCAGACGCTCCTGGAGAGCCGCGCCGCTGCCGGGGAAAGAGCGGGCAGAGTAGGGGTCAGTGGCTGGGGACAGGCAGGGCCCAGGGCCCACCTGGCAGGGATGTTTCTCACGGTGTGCGTTCTAAGTAGCGCACCCCCGGGGGGTTCCAGCCAGCTCCTCACTGCAGAAGCTCAGTCCCTCCCGGCAGCTGCTTCACCTGTCCCCTCCGACCCGCAGCCAACGTATGCGACGACGACCAGCTGCTCTGCCTGAACGGCGGCACCTGCGTGCAGAACCAGCGCTGCACCTGCCCGCGCGGCTACACCGGCGTGCACTGCGAGCAGCCCCGCTGTGACCTCGCCGACGACAGCGGCCCGGACTGTGACCGCGCGCCAGGCACCGCCCCGCGCCTCGACACCCTGCTCGGATGCCTGCTGCTGCTTGGGCTGGCGGCCCGTCTGGGCTGCTGAGCCCGTTCTAGGGTCCGGGGCTTCCGGGCCCGGCGGCGACTCGGGTGCGGCCGAGACGCTCCAGGTGCTACTCGCAGAGTCCTCCCGCCCTCCCTGCTCTGCCCGCGCTCACCCGCCCTGCCCGGCGCTGCCCTCGCTCCTGCCTCCACAGGGGGCGCTGTGGAGCCCAGGCCCGGCAGACTGCAATTTTCAGTTTTTTTCTTTTTTATAACCTAACGTCCCTATCATTTTTTTCTCGTTTCCCAGTTTTCTTTCTTTGCTTTCTTCCTCTTCTTCTCTTCCTCTTTTTCCTCCTTCCGTCCCTCCCCCTCCCTCTCCTTTCTTTTGCTGGCGGTGAGACAGGGACTGGGGAGAAACGCTGCTCATCCCAACACCCGCAGGTCCTGCCACCCCCACACACAGAACTCTTGCGCTCACCCCAGCGCCTGTTCCTGGCTGCCATGAGCAGCCAGCGGACCCGGAACTCCAGTTGCCTACAACTCTAGTCGCTGACTTGATTCTCTTTTGTATCTTTTTTTTTTTTTTTTTTTTGCACTCACCAGACCCTAGGCCCCCAAGGAGGCCTGGAGACGGAGGAACTCACTGTCTGGGGAGGGGTAGGACAAAGTGCGGGGAGGGGTGGAAACCTTGTTTTCTAGAGAACTATTTTGTTTGTATCCACTGTCCCTTGTGAGGAGGGAATCGGTTGGGAGCTGGTCACCGAGAGTGGCTGATGGTGTGCAAGCCCACAGTAAAGCGAGTTCACAGCTGCCTCTGCCTGCGTGCCTTCTGTGTTGGTAGACACTCCAAAGGTTTGGATAAAAAAGAAGCTCACCAAAAAAAAAAAAAAAAAGTTTTAAGGGAACAGTTCGCTGTTGGGCTCTCCCCCATCTGTCCTCTCCTTGCAACCTTCCTCCCATTACACATTGGGCCAGGCTTGTGGCCTCCACCTGGGAGGTGCTTCTCCGAGCAGAGGTGTCCCCCTTTCTTACAGCTCCCCCCAAGTTCAGAGTATCTGCTATGGAAGCCCAGGACGGTAACTCAGGAGGCTGTACTCCATGCTGGGGTAAATGTGATGGCTCAGGGGCCTCAGGTCCAGGGCCACACACAGCTCCCAGCTGCGGCCTGCCTGGCCACTGAGTCCCAGCGTGGGCTTACACCTGCTTGCTTGCTTAGTCACTTTGGTACGTGAGGACCCAGCAGGTCACTGAAGCCGCCCCAGTGTGTGCAGCGCCTGGAGGAGGTCGGTTCCCCCCACCCCCACCCCACAGTTCACTTATCTCCAAGCCTCTCTTAGCTCCTTGTCCTGAGTGCCCGCTGCCCCACCCAAGCCACCTCCTGTACTGTTACCTGCTAGCTGCCCTTTCTAGGCTGGGCTGTCCCCGGGCCTTTGCTCAAGTCTCTTTCTCCTACTTTCAGAACTTTGGGCCACAGCCTGCTGGGGTCTTCACAAAGGTCTTCACAAATGTCCATGGGAAGCAAGCTGTGAGACCTGAAGTTTCTGTCTCAGGCAGAATTTCCAGTTCAGAAGTCCCTGACCCTCCTGGCTTGACCCCAGACCCCAGTGTTCACTGTGTTCAGAAAGAAATCAAAACACCCAGGTCATCACACCAATCAGCATCGAAGCCTGGGACATTACCTCTCCCCGGAGCAGAGCCAGCCCCCACCTTCTACAGGGAAGCAGAGGTTGAGCTGATGCAATCCCACCTTCCTGCAAATGACTGTAATGCAGGCCTGTGAAGGAGGCTCCTCCAGCAGTTAGAACCACAGTGACCTAGGTCTCTGCTCGGGAGGCAGAGGGAGAGAGCACATGCACAGATTAGTGAAAGGTGAAGGTCTCAGGAAAACTGATCTGGAAAGAAGGGTGGGGGTGGAGGGGTGGGAAGGGCCCAACCTTGGCCTGACCCATGAATTGGGGTGGGGCTGTGAAGCAGAAATGCTTTCATGGCAGGGCTCTTGTCTTGAGCAAGGGTTGCAGCCCAGAAAGCCTCTGGGTCTGGTAATGGACTATGGTAACAATGGGGCAGAGCCTCCAGCAAAGAGGCCCAGCACCAATGGCTCCTACACACACATATCCCTTTCTTTATGTCACCTGGGAGTGTCCCAGGACACTGGAGGGGCCTGGGAGGAGAGGAGAGGAGGACCCACTCTGTCCTTCCTGACCTCTCAGCCAGCCTTGCTGTGTCAGCATGGGCTGTTGCAGTACGCTGTAAATCAGAGTGGCAGCCCCAGTCCCTGTGGGCCACTCAGGCCCTGACCTCAGACAGAGGTCAGGGTGGAGGGAACATTGCCAGTAGTCATTTGGGAAACTCTGACATCTTCCAGACCATGGAACAAAGGAGAAAACAAGGTCATCCAAGCTGGAGTCACAGCTCAGCTTTGGGCTTTAGGTGTCTGGTTCCCCAAGGCATAAGTGGGGGGGGGAAGGGCACCCTTTGCCCAGCTGTGCTCACAGCAGCGCCCACCCGTACGGGTGTCAGGATGTTAGCCCTGTCCTTATCCAGGACCAGGTTTTCATCTTGACTCTGTGGGCTGAGCAGCTCTTAGTGGCAGAGGCAGGAAGCCCTAAGCACCAGGGTTCCCATAGTGATGGAGCCAGCTGTGGCCCTACCCCATGTGGTAACATTCACAGGTTTCTCCCCAGTGCCCGAGCCAAGGCAGAAATGCCCTAGTTTGACAGTTTGTGTTAGGAGGAATGGGTGGCTCGTTTTACAGAGGGGCAAGTAGAGGCTGAGAGGGAGACTGAGACTTGCTTGAAATCGGGACTGTTAAGGAGTTGCTGGGGTTGCTCCTCCACTTCTGCAGGCCTGTGAATCCCCACAGGCTCCTTTTGCCCACCTCCCTCTTCTGCCCCGAGTGGGGACCCCGGGGGAGCCTGGCTTCATCCCGTTGACTGCTGAGAGCCAGGGGAATGCACCCCTACACAAAGCTGCCTTAGCCCTGCCCCCTAAATAAACAGGACTGCTGCGTTGGCAATCTTGCCTCCACCATGCTTCACAGTTATGAGGCATTTATGGGCGTCTGGGGAGCAGCTCACATCTCTCGAAGGTTTGGAGGAAATGGGGAGGAGCGGAATCTGGCTGGCCTCCCCAGAGTGAGGAAACTAGCCCATCCTAGCTCATCTTAGGTGGGAACTCTTAAAGGGATGGGCCAATAAGAAAAGCTTTGCCCATTTATTTTTGCTTTTGAAAGCACACGTTGCAATTTATAGGGAAGTTAGAAAGTATTAAAAGCTAACAAAACATTTGTATATTTTGAGACAAAATCTTGCTCTGCAGCCCAGGCTAACAGAAGATTCCTGATCCTCCTGCCTCCTCCGCCTCCTTTGTGCCAGGACAACAAATGTGTCGCTTCACAGAGCTAGTCATTTTGAAGTTAAAATTACCCACAAGTCTCCACCCAGAGCTAATAACTATCAATATTTTTGATAGACGTTTCTAGTATTTTCTGTTACAAGCACTCCTGTGGGAAGTTATCTTTCCTTCCAATGCCACAGGATGTTGGGATTACAAAGACATTCACTCTGTCCAGCTTTTGTTTGTGCTTTGGGGATCACAATTCAGGCCTTCATGCTTTTGTGACAAGTGCCTTACCCACCGAGACTTTGTGTTTTTGAAACAGGGTCTCTCGTTGAACCTGGGGCTCACTAATCAGCTGGTCAGGCTGTCCAGCAAGCTCCAGGGCTCCACCCACCCATCTCTGCCTTCCTAGTGCTGTGTTTACAGGTGGGCACATGGATACTTTCATGGCATTTCCTAACTGAACCATCTCTACAAAAGAAAGGCTCGCACAGCCTTTCGCTTTGCCCCTGGCCCCTTCCCTCTTCCCTCCCAGCCTCAGCTGTTGGCAGAGGGACTCCAGCTCCTAACAGGGAGTTGCTGTGTGTTTCTCTGTGAGGATGGGTCTGGCCAGGTTCCTGTTCCCACTCCCTCCCCGCCCCATGGTTGTTTCTGTTGGCAGAGGAGACCTTACTGTTCTGGAAGGCAGGCCGGAGGCAGGAGGCTGCAGGCTGCCAGCTGGTTTCCAACCTTAGCTGAACAAGGAGGTGACCCTTCGGACACAGCCCAGAGCTGAGATGGGCACTCTCCTTAGCTGACCAGTGCCTACATGGCTGGCCAAGATGTGGGGGTTCTGCAAAGGCAGAGGAGACAGCAGGTCAGGGCAAGGCCGGGAGCTTGCCACTTGGATTTGAAGCTAGTCTTGACAGCTATACTTTGTGTGACTTTGAGCGACTCAGTCACTCTGTGTCTTGTCTTCTCGTCTATGAAAAGGGACACTGACAATAGCACTGGTCTCCCAGGGACATCTCTGAGTCAGTGAGTTCACACTGGTGGACATAAAGCCAGTCACCAGTGTCTGCTGCTCCACCACTTGGTCCATCTCCATCCTGTCCCCTCCACGCCTGCCATGCGATACAGCCTCACCCCTGCTCTCCTTCTCTCCCTCTTTTTTCTCTCATACGCCAGTGTGCCAGGCTCTCAGGCACAAAGCACAAGCATCCTTGGGTAATAAGGCCCACCCCTCCACCTGCCCTACTCCTTCCCATATGCAGGCAGCTGGCCAGGTTTCAGGCTACCCAGGACCAGAAAGACACTGCACGCCTCTGCCCACTGTGCCCAAGGATCCCCCTGCTCCTGGACTGCCATGTATGTAGTGGCCAGCCAGAATCCTCAGGGCAGGAACCCCTCTACTTACTTCTTCATGGTTGGCCTGAAACTCATAGCAAGCCTCCTTCCCCAGCCTTGAGTGTGGGGTTTATAGGCATGAGGCTTGCTCCTTCTGTTCAGTCTCCTGCACATGTTGGGTAGATTGGGGCTTGAACAAGACAGGGAAGGTAGGTTAGCAGGACTGGAGAGAAAGCTGTGGATGGGACAGTGCGGGGGGGGGGGGGGGGGGGGGAAAGGGAAGCGAGGGGGGGGGGGGGGGGGGGGGGGGGGGGGGGGGGTGGGCAGGAAAAGGAAATCATAGGACAGGAGCTCCCAGTGCTCTTTCTGGAAGACACAGATAGTCATGTGGCTATCCTGGGCTTCCCAAGTCCACAGAGGCCTTCTGGATACTGGCATGGCCTGTCCAGCCTCTGCTGACCCTCTGTTGCCCTGCCCCTTGTCCCTTCAAGAATTTGCTCAGCCCAAGAATCCCCAAAGAGGTATGGAGAGGCTGGAGGGAAAAATATATAAGTCAGGCAGGGATAGCTCTTAGAGAGCCAGGTTCTAGGTCTCAGCTGAACCTGGTGATCTAGAGCCTGGTGACAGTGGACAGGACTGGTCCAGGAACAGGTGACAGGACTTTTCAAGAACAGGCCAGGCTGATGTGCTGGAGATGCAGACTTACAGGCAATTTTGTCTAGGAAGTACCTTTGATTCTCACAGCCACTGTTGGTGGCTGGGATACCAGCCTCCAGAGTCCCTGTAAGTCTAGGGCAGGGACGAGATCACAGATGGAGGCCCACACCCACATGCCTACTTATAATCCCAGACAGAGAGTGGTGCACGCTTTTAGTCCCAGCACTTAGGAAGCAGGGGCAGGCGGGTCTCTGTGAGTTCAAGGCCAGTCTGATCTATGGAGTGAGTTCCAGGACAGCCAGGGCTACTAGTGAGACCCTGTCTTGAATAAAATCCCCCACCCGGCCATGAATTCAGAGCAGCCAGTCCATGTTGAGCAATTGAGAGCAGGTTTGCATTAAAGTCTTAGGACTGTGCCTGCGGCAGTGGCCTGAGTCCCTCTCATACTGATGCATGATCTAGAAGAGATGCAGGCTCTACTGG